CGTTGGGGGCCGGATCTCCCTCTTTTAACAAGCTGGGGAGGGGGGGGGGGGGGGTTGATCCACCGTGCCGCGGCGGCAGGCGCCGCCTCGTAAGGGGAAGCATGGTTGAGTGAGTGCGTGCGGAGAGAGATTTGTGCGCACCGGGAAACGAGTGTGAATTTTGCTGATGGACATCGCCAAACCCTCTCTCTCTCTCTCTCTCTGGGGCGCTGGTGGGAGGAGAGACCCGTGCGCACGCGCCGCGACGCAAGGGGGGGCTGTGGAGTGCATGCTGGAACGTACTGCTGCCGCCCCCCGCCTCGCCTGTTGCTTGGCATATGCTGATGGCTTCATAGCACAACGTACTTCATATTTTCTATCGTAAAGAGTTTAGTATCACAGTCTAACACCCATACGATACGGAGGTGTATAGGTTGAAGTTTGACCATGATATACAAATCGCATATAATTCGAAGTATTGGTTTTAGTGCACCACACAAAATCCTATAATGTAGACCCCCCGTCTACCCCACTCACGACTTCGGCCTTACCGAGTATTGGAGCAGCAGTGCATCTGCGTGGCCCCCTTGTCCGACAAGAGTGGGGGCTCCGTAGCTGCACCGCGCAATGACTGGCTGTGGTGGTATTGGCAAGCTGTCTTCGATGTCGTGCTGCCGCCTGGTCTGTCTGGCAAGGCGCGATTGGAAGAGAGCAGCGTTGTGTGTTTGTGCGCCGTCGTCTGTCAAGCGATACGAGGAGTTGACTGTTGGAGGGCGGGGCACCGCAGGGTAAGGTTAGAGGAGGGATGGCGAGGGCTTTGGTGTTCTATAATAGATAGTCTACAACGTTTGTTTGTGAGAAGTGAGTTGGGGAAAGAAAGTACTGTGGTTAGCTCGGTTCGATGGTCAGCCACGTGGTGCGACGGTGCTTCTTGCTGCTTGGGCGGGAGTTGTTTGTTGCTTGGGCGTGTACATTTTCTCGTTTCTTCCTCGTAAAATAATAACTACTCCGTGCACGTTGTTGCCAAGCTGATCCGAGGGACGTGCGACAGGTCTGGGGTATATTGTGTGTTGTCTTGTTGTCAGAAACGAGTCGTCGTGTCTGGGTACTCTTGTGCTACTGCTGTAAGCAGTGTGTTTCGTGTTGTTGCTGTAGGAGTGTGGGTTGACGGTGCTTTTGCTACGTACGTGAACGTCGTCTCCTATACTACTGTCGTTGTCTTTTTGCTGTCTTTTAGATTTACTTCTTTTTTTTTTTCTTAATATGACACAACGAATCCATCTCTATCATAGAAAAGAGTCTGAGACAGATTAGCAATGAATTCATAGCGTCAGAAAGTACCTGTATGTCTACGATTTCCCAGACAGCATATAGGCTTTGCAGTTGCAGCCCTCTCGTTCATGAAAGGGCCGTCTCTGTGGTACATGTGATGCTCCCGGTATGGTGCGCCAGCAGGCGTGGGTAGCACGTTTGGAGCCTTCGCCCAGCGTTTGCGCTACACCAAGGGTTACACGGCTTCAGAAGACCGTGTTGTTGGGGAGAGACGTCACCGATGTAAGACACAGCGGTACACCGGGCATTCCACAGCTTGCGATGGGTTTGCTCTTTAGAATGGTCGGCGCGGTGTGTAAATACACCCGGTGTTTGTGAGAGAAAAGGTGCCCGCAGTTTTCTGATTGGAAAATTTTTAGTATCCGTAGGTCAACGCTTTACGTTGTGTCCTATGTGATATTTTTTACACCTGTTGTCCTCATGTCAATGTCAAGATTTTGCCTAGGTTACCTCATGCGCATGGGATTGCCAGCATTCTGACCGAGCAAGTTAAATATCATGTCTCGAGTTGTTGCAGACAGCAGGGCGCACCTTGGATCATCTCGACCGATGCCCCCACCCCGATTTGTATGCACTACTCTGTGCATGTCTAGCGAAGAAATCTCGGCGCTGTCTGTTGTGAAAGGACCGCTCCCGCGTCGTGGTGAGACCCCAATGTCCGAGAAACACGAAAAAGTGGACGGTATCAGGCACGCATGACACGCAAGGAAGGGGAGACCGTAGAATAGAAGGAGGCGTTTTCGCGGTTGAGATGCGACAATTGCTGGAACACATTTTCGTCCATCTGGCCCGTACGCGCGGTCAATGCTACAGTTCTACATACAGGAACACGGCGACCCGAGAGAGTGCCTCGTCAGAGAACCCACCGCGTCATGAACATTAAGACTACATTTACTGGTGCACGTCCATTGCCCTCCCCCCCCCCCTCCCTCTATGATGCCCCATGTCTAGGCAACTGCACTGTCACTGCAGTCGCTGCACAGCTATTCCTTCAGCTGGCATGTGATGCGAGGTCAGGTAGGCAAACACACGAGTGAACTTTATTATCCACACAGACGCCGAAGCTGCTCCACCTGACGGTTACAGACTTGGCAACGCCTTCACAATACTGCCGTAGGAGAGTCGTCCTTGTACGTTCTTGTACTGCAAATAATCCAACACCCCATCACACTAACTATCTACACATATTCAGCACGCGGGCCCCAAAAACAGGGGGTGGGCGGAAAACCACCACTACTACAGCGTGCACAAGAACAGCCATCCTCGCCACCGCCCTGGTATGTATCCGCTCGAAAATACAGGACACCGGTCAACCGTGAAGTTGCTCCGCGTCTGGCTGCCACGCGCGCCAAAAAAAAGTGACGAAAAAAACGGGGTCTACACAACAACCACATCGTATATATCCTCCAGACAACTTGTTGGTACCCACGGTTCGTATACAACGGCTGTGTCGACGCCCACCTTCGACGACTCAGCCTTCCTGACGGTGCTGATCAAACGACATGCAGGGTACTTTGGTTGTACAAAATGCATTTTCGCCACGGATGACAGAGCAGTGACAGCACAGTTTGGTTTGGGCTGGCCCACCGTTTCACACCAAACGGAAGTCAGAAGGTCTTACAAGAGAATAAGCCAGAGTGGTGTCGCGTCGCGTGCACGCGCAGCCCCGGCTGCTGGCAACATGGCATGCCGATCAGCAGCACTATAGCGTCGACACCCCGTGTGTCAGCCAGGCTCCTACGGGGGAGCGTGGCAGACAAGGCAGATTGCTGTGCTGCCGCACTTTTGAAACGTTTTGTTCTATTCGTCCGTCGAAAGCCTTTTTCCTATCCATCGTGCCATACAGTCAGGGCGCCATGGCACCCAAGTTTCGAAGAGAGAAAATAAACAACAACGCCGTGTTGACCGAAATTGGCAAAAAAAGAAAGTTGCTACTACGTAGACACCTTCATCACACTCGCTCCGTTCTCTTCTCCCCCCCCCTAGGTTCGCGCGAGGACACAGCAGTCTTTCGTAGCAGCGCCTAAGAGCGACGGCGCCTGGACTACACCGGACACCACGTTAGCCGCCTTGCTCCGAGACCCAAGCTAAGCTAGCTAGACGGCTGCCACCCAGCCCCCACCCTTGCCCCACGCTTGCTTCACTTACTTCAGGATGAACCTCTGAGGTCGTCTCAGAAACTGCGTGGGCCCGAAGCCCTTCACGAAGACACCTCCTGTTGCCCCCCCCCACCCGACCAAGGTGGACCCCGCCTGCTTCCGCTTCCGTGTTAATGTGCCGACTTCTTGCGCGAGGGCAGCAAAGCAAGTGTTTCAACACACACAAAGCGAGCGGCAAGCGGCCAAGCCAAAAGAAAGCACCCGTGTGTGCAGTTCATTCCGAACTATCCTCGACTCGTGCCCCGGTGTCCCCCAACCCACCCGCGTCAGCAGCAACAACCCGCGTGACGCGCCATGTGCGAACACGCACCGCCGCGCACCGCCTTCTTTTTATTTCGAGGGCTACTACTGGCGGAGGCGCCGCGGGCAACAATACCCCCGCCGCTGCGGTAGTCCGGGCGGTGCCCCTTCGAGACGTGGTCGGAGGGAGTGCTGGCGAACTCGTCCGCCGACATGCACACCACCAGGCCATCGGAGGTGGTGTACATCACCCTCCGGAACCTCCACAGGTGCTTGCTCAGGAACAGCCAGCACCGCCGGCAGGGCCTCGAGATCCTCAAGGAGTCGAACGTGAAGCGCACGTTGACGAGGTCGAAGCCCTCCGAGCGGTAAGCGCCTCCCCGCCCCCTCCCGCCCGTCCTCCCCGCTTTGTCGTAGCAGCTGAAGAGGGCCCGGAGCGCGGCCACCTCGCTGTGCACGCTGGGCCGAGGACCCGCGGAGAAGCTGTTGAACCCCCAGGCGACGACCTCGCCGGCCCTGGCGATGATCGTGAGGTGGTTGTATCCCGCCCCGCGGGCCTTAGTCTTGCTGTTGCCCTTCTTCTTCTTCTTCTTGTCGCGGGGATAATCCGTGTAAGGGTTGTTGTTTGCCGCATCTTTCCCCCTGCCTTGCCCCCACCCGACGGAGGGCTATTGCCTGCCGTTGTAGTACAACAAGCGGATGAAATGCGGCGGAATTGAGAGAGAGAGAGAGCAAGATGATTGAGACAACAGCAGCAGCAGAGCTTTTCTTGGCTGGGGGTCTGATGTCGGAGCCATTTCGTGTGACCAATGTGGGCAGGGAGAAGGAGGTATTAACCTAAGGAGTATTACCGGAATAGTCTTCGGTATGTTGATTCAGTATTCGGATCATTGTACACACTACGGGTTATGTTATACATTGAACAATAGAAGTATGGTGCATCGGACCATTGTCCTATAGGATAATCTACAGTAGTAACGTTGTCATGGGTCGGATTGACCGTCAATTACCGTGATCGGTACGTTGCAATAGCCCTTGTGTGTTTCCTTTCCGTGATGACGGTGGATGGCTCGCCCCCGTGGTGCTCGCCCCCACTCGCTCACTACTTCTTCTTTTTCTTCTCTCTCTTTCTTCTTCTCCTTTCTCTCTTCTGACCTTTCGGCCAACGAAGCGCCAATACAACCATATCATCTGGTCTACAACACAGGTGTACTTTACAGTCACTCTGTGAGCCTCTGCACACTGTTACACAGTGCCCATTGCCAGGGATACACCTATCACAAAGGTTACATCCCAACACTATTTATTATAATATACTGGTCCATATGAGGCCGGTGCGGAAAAAACAAAACACATGGGAAGAGCGCAAAATAGGCGTGCCTCGCGTCAACGCTCACGAGTCTGCTACAATATTTGCGGACCTCCGTGTGTTCCATATCCGAGGCAGCTTTCTTCGCTTTTGTCGGACATCACGAAAGAATAACCGGCGAAACACATATGCCATCAAAATGAAATCGCAGGTATTGCGGTTGGAAGAGGCACGCGAATTTTCTCATTGTCCACCCCAAGGACACCGTCGGTACTACCGGTAGAACCAGATGCTGGAAAAAAAAAAAAAAGTATCCGTGAGCTGCTGTAATCTCATCTATTCTGGGTGTAAAGACGAGATATTTTGGAATATGTGGACACACCAGCAGGCGTCTCACAACGCTGCACAGCTAGACCATACATTCGCCTTTAAACGGAGAGGGTCCAAAAAGCTGAAGACAGGTATAGCCGGGAATGCAGTAGAAAACAGCGTTTTATACTCGCACAGTTGCAGGTAAACCGCATTCATTCGTCTTTCGTGGGTAAGTACCCACCTGGGCCTCGCCGAAGAGCTTGGCGTTGCTGGTGAGACCGAGGGAGTCAAAGAGCCGGGGGAGAACAAAATCCTCCGGCTCGTGCTGGTGCTGCGGCGGCACGGACCTCATTGTTGTCGTCGTCAGGCTGTGGTGTCGTATCTGCACTCTCCCTTCGCGTGACTTCTCTCGTTCCGTCCCCTCTTGAAAAAACACGCCCGATCTCCTTGCTAGAAGGAAGCCGTTGATGAGGAATCGAAAAGCGGCTAGAAGAGTGCTCTTGGATGGGTCGTGCAGCTGAGAACGATAGCGGTTAGCAGCAGCAGCAGCTATTGGTTTACGAGACGGAGAGTCACAGGTCACACCAGAGTCACAATTAGGGTCGCCGCGTTGCAGCCACGAAGAACTCTCCACAGATGGCGGGACTGTCATTTTTTTGTAACGGCTGTGCATTGTCGACAATAAAAGGACATCCAACAGCGATCATCCGATCACCCTCTTCCGGCACCAAATCTCCCAAAACAATCTACGGTAGCGTGACTGAAGACCCGCGGGTGGTTGGTCTGGGCTAAGAGACTACTAGTGATGGAGACAATCGCGCACTCTGGTAGTACAGGGATCTGGGAGAACGGGGCCATCTCGAGAGGTGATGGCTTCCTCCCCCTCTCATCAGCAACGACGATCGAAGAAGTTGATGTTGTCCACCATTGACGACAATGATACCCAGGAGAAACCACGCCTCGCCAGGGCTGCCGCTACTGCTAGTACTGCGGCGGGACAGAAGTACGGTGTGCAGGAATGGGAAGGCCCTACACCGTCGTGTACGTATGGATGTCGGCGCGGTTGTGCCGGGCGTAGAGACGGGCCCGATGTACTGCGGTAGCATTCACAGCTGTAGAATTCAGGAATAATAAAAACACACACAGAAAGACCACCCATTCTGTAGAATAGTCTACTGCACAGCTGCTGTAGAACTGTTACTGCTGCTGTACTGCATGCGCATTCTTCACAGCGAACCCAAACGTGTTTACACATGTAGGAACACGGTGTGCTTTTCATGAAGGAGAATTCTTTTCGAATGTAAAATGAATAACATTTGTAGCTGAGTGTCCTACGCGTGCTTTCTGTTCGACATGTCTCCGAGCTTTATATGTTACATGCGCTCCCTCCCATCGTTTGCCTTGCGCCGGATCTCCCCCCCGTCACACCCACCTCCTCCAATTCAGCGGGTACACTCCCTCCCAGCTTCACGAAGCCTTTCCGCAGCCATCATCACCACCACCGCCACCAACCCCACCACACACCGCCACTGCTCAACACTTCCCGCCCACGAGCAACTCTTGCCTCCGCAGCCGTTTCGGAAGCCGCCGCGGCTCCGCAGACACTGCAAGCGGCCAACTCGCTCGCAACGCTGGGCGGTGGCGTCGGCTCTCTGCTGTCCCCGCAGAACAATGTTCTACATGCCAACATATTTTCCTCGGTGAGGAGAAGCAACAACCTGCCACGGAAACGACCCCGAACCTCTTCACACCCATACGGTCGACCCAACAACGATTTCATCAACGAGATCCCTGACTTGCGGCTGGGGTCGCCGGCTCCAGCGGGTGTGTCTCCCATTCGTGCCCGCAAATGGGATGGGAATACGAGCAGAGACGGCGGTAGCCTCTGGGGACAAAGCGGCGTTCCGCCAACTGGGGTGATAGATCCAAGGACGAGCGCGGAGCCTCTCGAGACAGAGTGGGCGTGTCCGACTTCCTCGGTGGCGACATCCACCTCTAGTCTTCACGACGGCTTCTCGGATGTGAGGAAGAGCAGGCCGCCGTTGCTTTTCTTGGGGAGGAGGACTCGAACGTATCGCGCTTGTACCTATCGCAAACCTTGGCATTGGCGGTTCTGTTGAGAAGAGCATCATACGGCTGACATGCCTCTCCCTCTGTCGCTTCCTTCTGTCTCTAAGTCTCTCTCTCCCTCTCTCTCTCTCTCTCTCTCTCTCTCTCTCTCTCTCTGTACGCCCTGACTCCCGGTTTGAGTATTTTAACTACAAGGTTGTCCCTTGATGATCGCCACCTTCTCTGCCACTCCCTCTGTTTAATCCCCATCTCCTTTGTGCTCGGCGCTCCGTTTGTCACTTCTTCCACTGAACCCGGTTCAAATACGCTATCGGAAGGTCTTCGCCACCCCTGTGCCAGGCGGGTCTCGCCGTGCCGCTCTTCAGCCGCACCCGAGTCGGTTCAAAGTCGTACCTGGCCGACTGAGTCGCTCAGCAGAGGTGAGTGAGTGGTCGCGTTCCGTATCTGGTGCTTGCTTTTTGGAATACACTACAACTTTTATATTTGTGCGTGAAACAATGCACTTTCATCGTATCGTACTTTATCGGATTCACGGCTGGGGCAGCCTTGAATCTATTAAGCAAGATTGTGGGTAGTGAACGATTTTGTTTACCCAGGGGGTTTTTAGGGAGATGGGATGGCGTGGTAGTTCAGTCCATGGGGCGGATCCACAATGACACTGGATGAGGGACGAACACACATCGCGGCTATGTGCGTCATTCATGTCCTAGGCGAGCCGAAAAGCAGGTCTCGGCGCCTGTGAGCATCTGCACCGACAGAAAATGCACAAAACCCGTTCTGGGTACCTGAGTTCGTATTCTCGAGTGTGTGCCCTCCCTCCCCGAAGACAAAACCAACAACCAAGGACCGACGCATAAGATTACATAGAAATCAAGTCTTGGACGGACACGGGAATCATCCCTTCCTACCTCACCCCAGATCCCCCCCCTCCGCAACCATGTTTCCGATTTCCTCCGCGTATACGACTCATGGAAAACTGCTCACCTTTCATGCAACTCACCGAGCATACCTTTCGCGTACGATACGTACCTGGTAGGCACTGGCGCGTTCCCCGTCAGCTTAAAAAGAAAACGAGGTTGTGCCTGGTGGTTCCCCACCGCCATCAACTGCCAACAAAAAAAAACTCTCTTCCATCCACCGCCCCGCGATCGAATAGAGCTGCACCGTATTGAACCGAAGCCCGTTTTAACGTCGAATTATATGTTCCGCACGAATAGGGTCTCACGCGTCCTCGATCGGGAGTTCGCAATTACCCTATGGAGAACCTGGGCAACTGGCCCCTGAACACCACCGAGCGGTGGATGAAGGCGATCGTTACCCAGGACACCTCGCAAGAGCGTTTAGACAAGCTGCGGGAAATTCGGTGAGGGAGGGAGTTGATCAAACCATAGTGTACATGCTTGATGCTGTTAGGCACTTCTGATTTCAACGTGTCAAGGCAAGGACAGAAAGAAGAAAAACAACAACGCGACAACAAAGTGTGACGACTACAAAGTGTGACGAGGATGATACAACAACAGCGGCAAGGAAAGCTAATCACAACGTCTTCGTGACATCCACTGAGTACTGTGTTATTGCACAGGCAAGTAGCGGATAAGGAACACACGGAGTAGGTGCACCGATGGCATCTTTGGCGTGTGAACTACAGCATCCCGCCTTGCCCTGTCGCATATACTCACCCTAGCATCCGAATTGGGGGCAGCCATCCAAGGTGCTCACGTTTCCGGCTCTAAACACCCTCTCTCCGCCATCGTATCCCCAACGACACCAACCCTCTATCCACGAGCCGCAGGTTGAAGCGCATAGCAGAGCGCGAACGAAAGGGGGCTGCGTGGACGCCAGTGGCCGATTCCTCGAGCGATAGCGGTGATTCGTACGTGAGCGAGGAGGAGCCGGAGGTGCGCGGGGGGGACGAGGAAGGCCGCGAGGAAACCGAGCAAGAGAAAGAGATACGGAGGTAACTTGTGCACACAAGAGAGCTCGTTGGCGGCAGGGGCTCAGGGTCTAGGTGTGTGTTTCCCGGACAGAGTGACTATTAGGAACCAATGTGGGGTAGATATCAAGACGCGGGACAATAGAACATTGTAATGGTGTCGCAGAGAACGGGCAAGCCTGAAGGGAAACTGGCGAGGAGACAACGGAAAACCGACAATCCTTTTTGTTACCTAAACCTCGAGATGTATTGCCAGACTCACACACCGCTATAGCTATGTATCGCACATCACATGATAGGACGTCTCATTTGTGCATATTCGAGCATAGCAACCTGTAGAGCATTGCGAAGTCATAGGATGTTGCTGAAATAACGAAGCGACTATCGGGAAAGCCCTTTCGTCCCTTCCCATATTGCCAGACGTCCAAAGAAAACTGTGGGGCAATCGCATCTTACGCGCGCTGCCTCCCCCAGGAAGCTTAAGAAGGCTATCAGAAAGAAGGCACGAAGAGCGAAGAAACGAGAAGCGGAAATGAAAAGTCGCTCTAACCGGTGAGAAGCCTCGTCTGCTTTTTCTCGGAGTGATGAGAGTTTAGAAGAGGCAGGGGGGAATTCGCATTTCAAGCACAAAGGGGACCGTCCTTACGCCTGTAGATGCGAACGACATAGCGCATATGCGATGCCAGTACGCTGGTCGAAAGAATGTTCTCCGTGCTTTTACGTACAAGCCTCCATAGATGTTCATTTGGCCCACCAGTAAATTGTAGGGTAGAACTGCCTGAACAAGACTATCGTCTACAATTGTCTCTGTGTGTGAGTATTTGATCTCATTGGTTGGTTGTTTGGTAGCCCCCCCGCCGAGACTACCTTCTGCTTTTATCTTTTCCTTAGCGCCCCATTGGAAAACAAGTGTCTACCCGCAGAGCACGAGCGCGATTTTCCCCTGCGACATACCAAACCGACTTCCGGAACGACCAAAACACGTCCTGGCTCGACTTTAACCTGCTTCATTTTCTTAACTCAGTCGTGATATGGAACATCACTTGTTAACCTACAGGGGGAGGTGGCAGACGGCGGGCAGGCATGGCGGCCTCGTCGCCCGCGCGAAGGCCTCCGTGCCCTCCCTCGCCACCCGCGGGGACTTGGTTCAGCTCAAGGGTCACGCCGACCGCGTGCTGATCGGCAAGATCGCTCGCTGCTGGGCAACGGTGGCAGAATTTTTCGGGGTGAAACCCACCCATGGCGGAAACGAGGTGCGGTGCGTGCAGCGGTGGAAGAAGGGCCGTTTGTGGGGGGAAACGCTGGGAGTACTCACCGGGGGGGGTACTCGCGTCATCCTGGAAAGTAGGTCGAAGAAAATCTCACAGTGCGGGTTGACCTCTCGGCGCGTCCTGGAGCATGCCTCCGTATCACCCCGCGTACGCAGGCACCTGGTTTACGTGAAAACGAAGACACACACCACGTAAGGGTACGGACGATTGGTGAAAGCGCCTTAGGGTAGGCGTTTGGACAGCTGGCCGTCTCGAAAAGGGGTGCGTGATCCGGCCAGCATGTACACAATTGTCACACATTCCTCCTATTCTTCTCGCTTGCCGTCCTCCTGTGACGTGTTTGTTCCTCTCGCCGACAATACAAGGTCCCGCCCCCCCCTTCTGACGTCGAGCGAGACTTCTCTGGGGGTGCGGCGGAATTCTGGACGATGTTGACCGGGCCCGAGGTGCAGCTCACGCCCGTGGAGATAGGTGTCGTTCAGGGAAGACTCAACGACAACGCGGAGAAAGAGCGGCAGAAGAAGTTGGGAGGCAAGCCAGCTGCATTGATTCTTGCCCTTCTGTTTGTTAGGACGCTAAGTTGCTACTATTGTAGGCAGGATTACTTGCGAGGGCACAATATTTCTCATAAGCAACCAACCGGAAATTAAATGACGAATAAGTAGGGCATCGGAAGAACAGTAGTTGGCACAAATTTGGTTTCGACAGATCGGCACCACAGATGAGCTCAGAACTTATTCTTGTGCACGGCAGCAGACGGGGACTCGTCAACGAGCGATAGCGTGCATGTAGACATGGCGGAGAAAGGAGGCGGCAAAGAGGTTGGCGACGCCAGTTCGCCCAACACTGGCTCTACGAGGTTAACCTACGGACAGGTGCAGAAGTGACAAACGGTCTTGTTTCCTCCCAACGCCCGTAAAACCGCGCCATTCCGGCGTCCCTTTGTCCCCGGTGGGTAGCCGTATCACGTTGGGGTACCACAAGGGACATGCGGCCGATCAAATTCGCATGGCTCCTCGAAGTGTCCAACTGGTTGAAGGTCTCTTCCTGACATGTAGCCGCGAAATCGCAGCCAGGTTTAATCGTTCAACGTCTGAGACACACGTATTCGCGACGAATGGGTCGTTGCGAGTGCAATATTCAGTATCATGTGTGAAGAGAAAAGGATCAACGACGACTCTATGGCCGATGTGCCACGCCCACAACCAAAAAATGGTGTCTGTTTGGGCTGGGAGTAAAGGGAAAGGGACGGGTACTCATCGAAGACGAACGTCGCAGACGTGGTCGCGAGTCAGGGGTCAACCCATGCGCTGGCTTTCTGAAGTTAACAGGGGCAGCCGCAGGGCTTTACGGTCCAAAATACGACTCATCCACGTATTGAGAGAAACTCGCTAGATTTTGGGTCAGGTTGTACCACGATGGTTACTTTCATTTCGAAGGAGGTGGACAGCCTCTGTGTGTGGGAGTGAAGACTGCGCTGTCATTTGTGCGCTTGACGAGAAATGCGAGAACACTCCAAATCGTTGTTTCGTTCTTGCGGCCAGCGCAATTATATACAGGCGAAGACAAATGATTGATCGGGTTGAGTGTGACAATAAATCGCGAGAGGGGAATCTGAAGAACGTGTCTCCGCTACTGTGGACGACCCTATTTGTTGAATGAACGCTACTCTGATTATCAGGTCCACGCAGCACTCTTCCGGAGCCAAGACCTGGAAGCCCTCGTCGCAGCGTTCAAGCGAGAGGGAGAACTGCGGGAGAAAGACGAACACCGCATCGCGCTCAAAAGACAACAGTTTGAGGAGTCCATGGTAATTCGCAGCACGGGAGCAGTACACACCGCTTCTTTGAAAAAACAAGTGTTTTCCTGGCGAGGCTTTAACCCGCTACAGTAGCTCTCATGTATGCTCTTCCTCGGAGCGGATCATTCTGTGTGTGTATTGGATTTGGAGAAGCCTCCTGCCGCTGCCGGATGTCCTCGCTTGTGGATACTGCCCGCCGGTGTTGAGAGGTATCCGCGGGTATCTGCACCCTCCATACCGCCGTAGGGTGGAGAATGGTCAAGAGTCGATAGACCACCCGAATGTTTCCTCTTCTTCCCCCAGAAGTCGCGATTTCGGTGCGTGTCTGAAGTTTATGTGCTCCGAGGGGAATACTTTACGGAAACATCCCGGTCATTTCGTTTCACTACAAGTATGAGACCACGCGCTACCGAAGGTTGTTAACGCATCGAGCGCAGCCTCTGAAAAGGCGTGCCGACAATCCCTCTTTCTCTCGGCACGGTCAAACACTAAACGTTGATTTCTCCAGCTATTGTACCTAGCCCGGGTTTTGCAAGCAGTGTCGCACTGGACAGCAGTGACACCCTCTCTCTGCGTCCCTCGAAAACAACGCCTCCTCCGAAATCCACTGAAGCCGTCCTTCTGCACCTAGCGTTTGGGTGAGCACACCAGACGGGAAAAAGTGCGTGGTAACCAGCCCCCGTACCCCCCAACCGCTGCTCCCGGTGCCATCACTTCTCGCGTATCTCAGGCCAAGCGCAGGAGCGGACCGATCGCAGAAGTGGTAAAGGCCTACGCTGCCGGGCTGGGCTATCGGCCGTCCACTAAGAAAAAACACAAACGCATCGTCGACGGGGCAGGAAGTAATGGCAGCGGCGGCGGCGGCAGCGGCGATGGTACTGATGACGGAGACACAGCAAGCGTTGAAACAGTCGCAACTTCCCTGTCGGCAGCGTCGTCACTGTCGTCTGGAGAGCACCCAGCAACGGACTGGTGGACGGACGGAGGGGCCAGCAACCGCTGGGCGATGGGCCCCGCCGTGCGGAAGACGTTGTTCCTCTCGCTGCAAGCGGGGGCGGTGGCGCACTTGCCGCTCAAGCAGAGGCGCGCTGCTGAATTGCCGTGGGTGGAGGTGAGGTTCCCACACAAGCAGCGGGTGGGGAATGGAGATGGGTTAGCCTCAATCAATGACGCCTACGGAGTATATCGCAGAGCACCGGCAAACAGGATTGACTGCCTTCTTGGCGAGGGAGCTTTCCCTTTGTCCTGTCATATTTTTTTCACGTTTCGCCGTTTCACTGCCGTTTCTTCGCCAACCGCCTACGAGGGGGTGTAAAGTGTCGGCACCAAGTGCTGTGGCCCGTAGTGTGAGGTAGTGCTCACCAACTGTTTTCACGTGCTTTAGAACTCCAGACCCAACTGGATGGATCTAACTCTTTCTTACGACCCATTGTGAGAATGCCTTTTGTCAAATCCATCTCTCTCTGCGGTTTTGTTTACTTTTCCCTGCTATTCCGTGCCTACCCTAGTGCTAGATATCTCCCATTCAATCAATTCTCACGTGACCCGACTGATGCGCATTTCAAGACGTCCGCGTGACCAACATGCAGATTTATAACGCTGTATGCATCAACAGTATTTCCGTTCTTCAACTCGGAAACAATACACCATGTAACCACCACCATCTTGCCTGTTCTCTACCACATATCAACAACGACCGTACAACACGTTCGCGACCTCCATACCACAATGAAATCAGGGGGCCACGCACATACTACTCCGTCGGCCGAAGGACGCCCTCGTCGCCTGCGCAAAGTACGGCCGGGACTTCCAAAACCTCACGGCGGCGCAGGTCGTCCTCGCCCTCCGAGCCTACGCCGCGCAGCGCATCCACGCCCAGTGGCGCGGCTGGGGTCCCCGCCGCCGCTTCGCGCCCAAGATCCTGGCCCTTAGGAGGCTCGTCGAGCGGGAGCGGGCCATCCGGGTTGCCCGACGGCGGGAGGCGTTCGGCGGGTGGAAAGCGGCGCACCGGTCGAAGATGGAACTAATGCGGGGCACAAGGAGAGCGTTTCGCCGGTGGAGGATCGAGTCCGAGCGGATGGCGAAGACATCGGCGCTGTTCCGTGGAACGTTCTGGCCGCTCTACGTCTGGAGGCGGTGGGCCAACTACCGCATCAGCTCCAGGGACAAGGTGTGGACGTATTTTCTGTCTAAATCCCGTGGGACAACAATCATAACCTTGTGCTTGTTTGCGGTTCTTGGTCTCGATGGATGAAAGTGTATGGTCCCAGGTGAATCTACCAGCAGCGCTATCATGAAACAATACATGGAAATCCCTGCTTCCCCGGCTCAATTTGTTTGAACAGAACAACCAAAACGCCACCTAGTGTATATTGTCGTGTCGACTGCCTGATACGCGAAGCCCTAGGCTGGCAAGTCTGTTGGCGCGACCCTTTTCACCCCTTCACCTCGCGTGAACCTCCCTCCCATTCTGCCTTGTGTGTCAATTTCGCCTGAACACAACACAAAACCCCAACAACAACAACAACAACAAGGCTAAGTTCCTCCGGAAAGTCTACCTGACCGTCATCCTCGTTCGGCACTTTCGAGCGTGGAACGCGGTCACCGAGACGGGGCAAAGGCTCGTCGGCCGGGCCGACCGGGCCTCCGACACCCGCTTGAAGACCAAGGCGGACCGGTTGTTCAGGTACTGCGGAACGTGGCCATGGTTGTTGTTGACGTCCTGGCAACCGCCTTGCGTTGGTACTGTTTAACGTTGACTTGTCCTTCGGCGGCTTATAGCAATAAACAGAACCCGCATCAACTAACAGGTAGACGGCGTTTTGATCCCCATGCCGCCAATGTTCGGCGAATGAACTTGATCCCGTATACATGCTGATCCCAAGCAGTGCTCCACGCCGTACTGCAACGCCCGTGGTCCCGCAGCTGTTGTTTGATTCCGACAGCGTACGGTATCAACGTGTTGCTCGCAGAATATCGTTCGCATATGCCGATGACACCCGAGCTTGATGGTGCTAACCACGACGTTTGATGTATGAAGACACGCCTCTTTGGTGTTCGGTGAACACGACGCCCGATCGTCGTTGAACCAGACTCTCTGTAGCTATTCAGGACACCATTTTGTTCATGTTGCCGACCACGGCTCCCGATATTTGCTTGACGAGAAGACCGTCGATGCTGTGGAAATTTGTTTTGAAGGTGGTGGGCTGCACGCATCAGAAAGAAGAAATTCCTGGAGAGGCAGTGGATCAACGGCGGCATGTGGCTTCGGTTGAGAATCAACACTCGGCAGGTCGCGACAACCTTCATCGTTCTGAGGCAAGAGTTCAATGTTTTTGTTTTGGACGACGCGTGACAAAGCGTCCCTTTCGACTTATTGTACGCTTCAGAGCGGGAGACGGAAACCGTGCGGGGGGGGGGAAGATAAGAAGGTGCATTCTAGGGCTCTTTCCCGCTAAACCATCACCAGCTACGCACAGCCGTCGAGAAAGCCGAGAAACGCGCCCCGTGTACCATGCAGAGCGCCACGCCGAACCAGCCGGAAACTTCTTGTGTGTATGTCGCAGGTACTGGGCGTTCGCGCGCGCCACCTGCGCTCGCCGCAGCGACACCCATTTCCGGTCCTACTACCTCCTCGGAGAGATGGACAGGAGACACACTCTAACGCACAAAAGAGGGGGCCGTCCTTTGCACGGTCGACGGGACAACAAAGGGAACAACAAGCGCGTGTGGTAAGGCCGGTGTCGACGAGTTCTGTTGTTGTTCGGCGGGAAGAGGGGGCGGCAGGGAGAGGGAAACCGGCAGGTACAGAGCAAGTGTTAAGGCGGCTTTCGCAGCACGTTCCACATGTTTCGCACCGTCTTCCGTCTCTGTGGCGTACTAGACGGATGTAAAGTGTCTCGCAACCACCAGAGTCTATTCATGATGACAATGGCGAGGATGGGATAAGCCGGCCAGCTGATCCCGTCTTGGAAAGTTGAGGTGACATTCGTTTCGATGTCATTCACCAACGCACTCACTGTGTGCTCACTCCGTCCATACGGGTGTTTGCGACTTTGCTCTGCCTGACCTTCACCATTACGTGTGTGAGGGTGCGTTTCCATGTAAAGCATCATTACTAGGAAGAACTAAGTTGCCCAGCTTGTTGTCGGAGCTGACACCCGCAACGGCGCTTGTCCGTTGGACGTACGTGCCAAACAGGCAGAGACCCGGCGGCCACCACTCGAGGCACACCACCCACGGGGGCAGCGGCAGCCCGAGCGGACCCTCGGCAAGGAGGGACGACGCCTTTGACAACCGCAACCACGGTGCCGCCGCCGCCGACGACGACGACGCGAGCCGCACCTCACTTGGCGGTATGCCGGAGGAAAGCGCTACAGAACCCTCTGATTCTCCAAGAAACGAGAGCAGGGTCGGAGTGGAAGGAGACCGGACCGCCAAGCCACAGAACAGCCGTGGCGGCGGCGGAGGCATGAGAGGCCGCAGGAGTCACCACAACGGGGGCGGGGGGGACCGTGGAGGGTCCGCCTCTGCCGCCGCTGCCGCCGCCGCCAGCCCACCCATCGCCGTGCTGGGGAGGCCTAACTACGTCGTTTTTCCGGGCCTGAGGGACACCGATTTCGGCGGGGATGTCCCGGATGGCGGAGCGACCTTCGCGTGTGAGGTCTTGCGGGACCACTTCGAGAAGAAGGAAGTGCTGAAGGCCAGGGTGAACTTCTTGCTCTACCGGGTAAGCGCGTGTGGTAGGCTTATGTCTTCGTGAAAGGCGTAGGGGAAGACGGACGAAGTGATATCTGCGTTGTTGTTTCGGTGAAGGCTTCTGGCATTCCTTGGGTTGTGTACGCTATGTCTCCTTTGCTGGTCGTCCACAACCACCGATACATAAACAATAGTGGAAGCTGACCAGTATTTCCCGCCGTGCCGATGCCAGCACCGCTCTCTAAACCCCCTGCACCGTCCATACGTGCGTGGTCGGTGCCGCCACCGACCAACAAATACGCAGGGAAGGCCTCCTGCTATCATTTGTTCAGTAACGCACTTACCCTCTGTGTTATCGCGTCGGCGCTGACTTGGTAACACTGGCGTGCAATACTCCCTAACCCCGAAAGGTTTCATTGGCTTGGTAGCACAGGGGTGAGGCGTGTACCAATATCCGAAACTTCTGCGCGCGCAAAAAGCCGCCAGCGATTGGCCTATTTTCTGTGTCCTCTCCCCCTTCTATTTATTCTCCCGCATCCTTCCCCTACGCCCCCCCCCCCCCTCTTCTCCAGCGCCTTGGGCCACAGGTACTGGCGCGCCTGAGAATCAAGGCAAACGAGAGGCAGCGCTCTCGCTATGCCGCGTATGTAGACGCGCGTCGCGTGCAGAAGAAGTACCTGAAGGCCTGGCACTTTGTGGTCATACAGACCGCTGCCGTGAGGAGGTGAGAATCACGGCGCACGCGCGCGGGAGCGCTTGCGTGGAAGAAAGGGTCTGGCTCTCTATGCTATCTGGGAGACTCTACTCCTTCCGCGTACGTTCATGGCGCACGCGAACGCTCGTTCAACTTCGCTAGGAGATATCCTCCCATGTATGCTCCCTACCTCACATCACGGCGAGCCGAGGTTTCTGCGCCATCAGCTGCGGTCAGAGTATTTTCTGCCTCATCAAACTTCCTCTGTGGCCACCTTGCGCTCCACACACCTTACCACTCACCTTACCCCAATCGATTTCCCTGCAGAGCGCGGTCCACTACAAAAATATCAACGAAAGAACGAAGAAGCTTTCATTCACCCTGCACCTGCTACCCCCCCCACACGTTTCCTCGAAAACACCACCGCGTTGAAAGGGGGATCACTGGGGAGGCTATGGTTATGACGCTGGACCAGGTCCGTGCCTCCATGCGAAAAGGCAGCCTGGAAGAAGACGACGTGACGGGGATGGAAAGCCATCCGCTCGCAGCTGGAGCAACAGCAAACTTTGCCGGTGGCGTAGGCGCGACATTGGGTGAAAGTACCGAACTCGGTAGTGGTGATCTGCTGTGCGGCGTGAATCAGCTCGACGAGGACAGAAAAATTCGCCGGCGGCAAGTGGAGCGGACATCCATCCGCTCGAGCCGGGTATGTACTTGGGATAGAACGCCCTGTGTAGAGCAGCTCGTGGCCAGTTCTGCCATGCAAGAAACACAGCGAAAGCGAACCGGGAGCTTGTGCGCACACACGCACACAATGCTATTCCATGCGTGCCGCTGGTCGAAGGTCTTGCTCGTACCAAAGCCATACTCGTTTGTATTGAGTGGCAACACTTGCAGCTATTGCGCAAATATGAAGTAGTTTGGTATCTTGACACACACACACACAGAGAGAAAATGGCGGATCTCTCAACTAGTTATATCCGTTAGATGGTAGTCCGATGGGTTTTCTGACTCGTGGGTTGAGGGTCGAGGGTCGTAAGACTTGCCGCTCGGACGACCGCCGCCTTTTCCAGCAATGTGTGCCACGATCCATCGATGCAAACCGGCCAACTTGTATGGTTTTTGTGTGTATTATTTGGTGCCATGCTTACAGCTGGTTGACAGAACGGTGTCGCTGAAGGAGCAGTCCGTACAGGACGCGGAAAACACCGCCGCGTGGGTCAGCGCGCGCAAGGTCCGCGAGCGCGCCTTGGCAAAGTTCTTGATACGGGAGGGCGCCAGGGCGAGGTCGGCAGACGAAAAGGCCCAAGTGTTCGTCGCGGGATTCCAGGCAAGAGCAACGGCAACCTGCCCCCCCTCCGTCCTTGCGAGAGTTCTGTTTCGTTCCAACTAAAACTCCCTGAGTCTTGATCGGGGTTCTCATCTCGTTTGGACGTATCTACTCACCCCGGAGTTTCACCTACCCCGGGTGTACATCCCGCATACTTTTCCAACAAATCATAGATATTGTGCCCCGGGGCCGGCCAGATCCCACAAGAGACGGATATGGCCTTCGTTCTTTCGTCCGATTCAGTCGCTTCCTCTCCAAGTGTTATGTGGCCGATATATACGGCCAAGATTCATGGCAAACATGGTTTCAGGGGGAGCAATGGCTCCCCGCGAGGTAATTGTGTATAGCGATTAGGATCACGGTAGGCAATTTGATCCCGGCCGTCTAAATAGTCACAGTGAACGATCATCATGCATTCAACCAAGGAAAGACACTAATAGCAGTTGGCGCAATTTACCCTAGAGAAAGCTAATGTCGCAACGAATATTGACCTTGCTCAGCGAGACCCGGACTGCTCATCATTCATCTCGCCCCCGACTATTCCCCATCCCCATACTCGTTGGTTCCCGATTTTTTTACCGCCGCAGCAATACGCCGCTGAGAACCTAGTCAACGTGGTGGCACGCATCTTTTACACGGTTGTAGATGGCAGGAAGTCAGTCACACTCCGCAAGACCTTGCGGCAATGGCGCAGCTGGTACAACATTCGAATGTCTGTGCAGCTCTACAACCGGCAGCGACTTCGCAACTGGTGAGTTCTCCGAGTTTTGCTGCAAGGCACACGGCAAGCAGCCGGACGCAACCACGACGCGTTCGTCGCTCTATTTCGTTCACGGTGCATCACCCATCCGAGCCCGACGCCCAGATAAGGAAGACGAAAACTGCTCACGTATACCCGCGAAAACTGAAAAGATCAGAAACGGTGATCGTCCGTATTGCCTAATCGACCAGTCGTAAGGTGTGTATGCATAGGCAAATGGGTAATTATTGTGGTGATATTATGGGCAACAGGTTCCGAACCTTGCCTCGGTGGCCAAGACGTGTGGACACACGTAGCCGTCGTTATCCTCATACGTGGTGCTTTATCCCTGGCTTCCTTGCCGCTGCTTTGCGTGCTGCTCTCTCTCTCCCTCTATCTCTCTCCCTTTCGCTCTCTTTCGCTATCTCCTGCTCTTGTCCTCATCCATGTCCACGCCATCACCCCAAACAAACCCCCCAAAAGGCTGCGGATTTGCGGGCGGCTACGGTACCTGTGGAGGGGGATGCCGCTCTTCCGCTTGCTGCGAGTCAAGTGGTCCGTGTTCCACCGCCTGCTCGAGCTGACGAACCACCGCATGCTCTACGGCACGCCCGATCTACCGGCGACCCTTCGTCGACGTCGCGAGCTCCTTCTCGACTACTCACGCCTCTTGCAGGAGCGAGGTGAGTTCCCCGCTCTTGAAAAAAACGATGTCACACACAACGAGTTTCAACAGACTTTACGCGCCTCTCGGCGGTCGACGGCTTCGCTTTGCTCACAAACAGAATGGGGAGAACGGTGGCTCAGGTGGCTGATTGAATGGGTTGGACCTCGCATGAGCTGCGCTTCCACCCATGCCTCGAAACATGCCTCGAAAGGTGGAGCGGACGGTGTAGGGAAGAAATCGATTGCTATCGAACGGCCGTGGAGAGCCGTCAGGAACTTTGATCGTCCAACGTCTCGTTGTTGTAGAGAACGGACAACACGTCGAACGTAGAGATCGTGAAACCCCCCAGAAAAGACAAATTACCTTCCCTCAGTGCCTAATCAAAGAACGCCTCCCCCCTTTGGAAGAGACCATCGTCTAACTGATGTCAAACACGTCCAATCCTCCCAGGTTTTGTCCCCGGCCGCTACGCTCCAGAGGTACTCCTCCCGGCGACGCTCGATCCGTCGGCACTGTTTCAAAGGTGGAAGCAGTACACGCAAGCGAGAGCAACCGCGCGCTTTCTGCGATGCTCTCTGCGCCGTCGCCACCTCCACCGCGTCGCCCGCGTGACGTTTGACGGGTGGCGGACGGGGCTGGGCCCGAGACAGGTGCGGAGGGCGGCAGAAATGAGGGCCGCACCTACGGAGGCAGCGGCGGGGGCCACCGCCGCCCAGTCAGATGCTGCAGCGATAGGAGTGCCGGGTCGCTCCTCCAAGCGGACGCTGACAGAGGATGTTGGAGAAATTATCGAGGAGGAAGAGGAGGAAGAGGAGGAAGAGGAGGAAGAGGATGGCGGTATTGCTACCTGGGGGGCGCAGACTGGGGATTCGAGGAGGTCGCGACGTGGTAAGGATGGTAATCTGAGACAGCGGAAGGTGTCGTGGGTCGAAGCCCGCGTGGAAGCCGATCTGAGGGTCGCCAGGAGGACCGTGATAGCCGGTTGGAGGAGTGCGCTGACACGAACCATTGGGTTGAGGCAGGCGAAGCACGAGCATCAGCTGAAGGAGGGAGCTCGGCGGATCCCTACGTAAGAACAAGACACAAGATCCAACATTGATCTTGTGGGGATTTTGATTGCAGCTGGCCGACCTTCAGCATTCAGATCCTATCCATCGTCATTGTTGAACCGTTAACATTTTCATCAATCCATCAACTCTACGTTTTTTCTAGACGACGGTCGTCCTCGTACACACCGTGGTTGCTTGATATCCCACCCAAGAGCAAACGGGAAACAATTACGCGTCCATAATCTTGTTCTTCATCACCTGTGACACAAAATATTATCTTCCGTGTTGCCAACGGCAGCAGAAAATTGACTTGGTTGATCCTTCTTGTTTTTTCTGCCTAAGGTTGCGGCTAACGCAGACTTCTCCACTCCCCTCGTCTAACCATCGACCCTTTTGCCGCAACCAAATACAACTACTCTCTGCCCTCTCTATGACCAACCCGGACATGTGTATGCAAGATTTAAGAAGTTCCTGGCTTTCCACACGTGGCAAGCTACCGAGCGCGTGCGAACCGAGGCCCGGCTCCTCGTCGACGCCTTCCTCCACCGCGGGCACCTCAAGTTCCAAGACCAAGAGCCGCCCGACATGGTGGGCCGCACCAACGAGAAGGGCAGCGGCTCCGGCCTAACCTTCTTCCGCGACAAGCCCGTGCCGGGCTCCAACCTCGTCTGCGAAGTGCGCGTCATGACGCGGGTCGGGGAGGGCGTCGTCGGCATCCAGCTCGTGATGACGGGGGGGAAGCGGACGACCGAGCTCCCCGTGCACGGCGCAGCGGTCGGCGAGAACCGTTCCACCCGCGCGCACTGCTTCGCCGTCGACGCCCCCGTGGAGCGGCTGTCCCGCTTCGAGTGCGAGCACAACGACGGCCTGATCGAGCGCATGCGCGTGGTCACCTCCGGCGGGCGCTGGAGCCCCTGGTTCGGGGAGAGGCTCACGGCGATCCCGGACACGGCTGTGCTGCCGGACTGGCACGTCCACTCGCTAGCGGCGACGACGGCGGCCGCGGCTACGGCGGCCACCAAAGCTGCTACCGCGGCGTCGTTCGCGAGCCTCGATGAGGTGTCCTCCACGGAGAAGGCGGCGACGGCCCTCGCTGCGGCGGAGGCCCAGACGACGGCAGCGAACGCGCCCGAGTGGGACGTCCAAAAGGAGTACATCACGGGACTGGTGGGTGTCAGGACGCAGGAGAGGCTGGTGGGACTCGGGGTGATCACCCGCCACGTCACGAACTCTCACGTGTTCAGCTACCTGTGGGAGGCGCCAGACGAAGACGAGGGGGCGATGCACGACACGAACTCGGAAAGCAGCCTCGACGGGCGCCTTTCAACCAGCGACAAGAACGGGAGTAACAAGTCTCTCGCATCCAATTCACTCACCAGCATCGACGGTAGTGCCACAGGGGAGCGGAGATCGTCGAGTATGAACCCCTCTCAGGCAAGACCCCCCCCGCCGACAGTATTGGGAGGAGAAGCTCCAGCAAGCGGGATCTCGAATGGCACCGAGGCCGGCGACGGCGGGGACGCAACCGGGAACAGGTCTCACATCTCCCCCGCGTCGAGTGGTGGGCCAACCCTCTCAAGAGTAGAGGCCAAGCAGATAAAGTTCGCGCAAGAAATGCGAGATCGAGAGAAGCTGAGAGAAGAGAGCGCGCGCCTTGCCAAAGAGAGAGAGGAAGAAATGGAACGCCTCATGAGAGGCGGGAAACCCAACGAGGACGAAGAGGAAGAGGAGGGAGGCGAAGACCCGTCCTCCCTTTCCTCGCCGGGCATGAGTGCGACGGGGAAAAAAAGGAGAAAGCGCGGCCGTGCTCCGCCTGCGGCCCACGAAGAGTTCTCCTGCATACTACGAATGCGACGGACAGACGCGCGGTTTGCACTTGAGCGTTCGGTTGCACTGGCCAGAAGGGCCCGGACATTCACCAGTAACTCTGCGAATATGTTCGACGACGCGAGCGGCGCGCTTAGCACCCTGACGGTCACCGTAGGGCTGACGAATTGGCTGCACTCGGCACTCCTTCCACAGCTAGTGCCGCTGCCGGTCCTGGCGACGACCACCACGGACATGTTCGATAGGGGAGAGAAGATGCTCATGACGGCGAGGGCAACCAAGGCCCGCGGTAACCGAATGAAGAACGCGGCCGAGAGCATGAAAATCGCTAAACAGAAGAGAGGCCGCAGGGGGGTCATGTCTCCGAGACAGCGAGCGCAAGAGATCCGAGACCGCGAGGTCAGGATTCACGAGGAAGCCGTAACAACAGTGACCACCCGCGAGTACCTACCTTTGACACACGAGCGAACTTGAGACATGACTCGTTTGCATGATGTTCGACGTGTCAAAGTGTCAGTTGTTACCGTCGACAAGCCCCTGTCCTTCCGTATTTATGCCTGCCTTTGCCTTTGTGCCCTCCCCATCTCTCCCCTTTCTTGAATTACTTCAGTTGACCATTACGATCGGCAAGAAACAATTCCTGACCCTGCTCTGCGCCCTACTGCTCACGTAACTGACTGCCGCTTTGGTGTCCAGCACATAGTTGAATGGGAAGCGAAAAGCGCGGCGCTCCTGGCGAAAGCGCATCGGCAGAGAGTGGAAGCAGATCGACTCCTCGACGATGCGAGAGATCGGCTGCCGAAGGTGTCGCAGAGCGTCAAGACTTTGCAAATGTACCTCGAATACCTCAAGCTCGCCAGAAGGCAAATGGAACTGGAGCGAGAATTTGGCTTGGGTGCTCTGCGAACTAAGAAACCGGCGGAGAGCGCGGTTGGAGGGCAGCTCAGCGAATCAACGAGCTGCGGGATTGAAGTGCGTAGTGAGGAGGATGTGCTTTTGTGCCCTTTAGATGATACTTTTCATGTCCATGAAACTGAGCTAGCTTTTTTGGGTCACCGTCCGGTAAACACGCAGATATCGCGTGTCCAAGTGTTCTTTCGCAAGCCGCCAGCTACCCTGTTGCTGCGCTGGGACCCCCATCTCAACATCGCAAGTGCCGCCAAACTGTTCTAGATGTCACCCGTCTTGTGTGCCTTGTAAGCCATGGCTGTCCACGCTTTGAACATTGACTTGTCGGTGGCCTGAGTATGTGTCATGCGTTTCGAGATCCTCCTCCGTTTCCATCGCCTACTATTCTGCTCGCAGCAATACCGAGTTACGCTTCCTACACAACGCCTACTTTGACAGGAATCGCTATTCGACGCTACCATCAAGTCTCTCCAACATGAGCGCCACGACGATGATGCCGAGGGAGGAGCAACGACAAGAGCAGGGGGCGGCGTGGGAGGAATGGCCGGGGCTGGTCCGAGCACTCAACCGTCGGCCCTCACGGAGGAAGGGGCCAGTGTGGGACCCGAGCTATCCGGGCTAGGAACCATTGTGTCGAGTGTAAACCCGTGGTCCTAACCGACGTGTTGCACAGACTCGCGTCTATTGCCAGGGATAGGATGTTTCGATAGAATGTTTCTTCCCGCGGCGCATGGTCAATCATTTGTTGGTTGTCCCGCACAGGAAAAAGGTCCATGTGTGTATCACGCCGGAGAGGCAGCAGTTCTAACTGTCTAGTGCACGGAAGGGGTGGAATTCACCGGTTGCTTCGCCACCAATAACAACCGTGAACTACCCGGCCCGATACTCGCGTTGGTCGTTTGTGTGTTCATGTCTTCATAAAGAGCACGTCGGCAAAGGTGCATATGCTCCTCCTCAGCATACCAGCAAAAATGTAACACCTAGCCAAGGTCTCAACCATCAGTCCTGCCTTTAAGAAGTCACCTCTAGCAACCAAAGTCTTGCACACGTCGTCTCACGGCGTGCCCGCCTTGATATCGAACGCACCCCACTGCAGTGATTCAGTACCACTACCCCATCTTCAACAAGGAAGAATAGTCTGCCTCTCAAGAACCTATGTATGGTGAGACAGCGAGGGCCAAGGGAGAGGCCCTGACACAATCACGCAGCGCGATGCAGAATCGTCGTCTGTATTCACTCGTGCGGCTTCCTCTGCTGCTGCTGCTCGCTGCACATAAAAAAAAAACACAAATCTCGGCTCGTAACATTCCCTGTGTGCCAGCATTGTATCTTGCCTGCCATGGTTAATCTGAGCCTGCCGTGACTTTTTTTATCGCTATTTTTCGTGAGCTATGCTGCTCCTTGTTGCTCTCGAAACGCCGCGCTGAGGGCATTGGCAGCGCTCCTTAGATCCGGTCTCCGGATGTCTCCCTGCTTCACAAGTCCTGCATCGCAAGGAACCTGACAAACAGGAAACCATTCCAACGAGGGTACGCACACAGACAGCACGTAGTGGTGAGGGTGTGGGGGTTGACCATCATTTTGAATACATTTTTCGGACTAACCCCCTTCGGTCTTTGCCCTTACTCTTCGGTACGCTAGATAAGTGCGAAAGTACGGTCGCGTTGCTGCCTAACGAGAGAAGTGGTTATGGCGGAAGAGAAAGGGAATGTCATAGATGCAGAATGAAAAAATGGTCACAAAAACGTACTAAGATCGCCTTCGGCTGTTTAAATTAGCTCGATAAGAAGCGGGAACCGTGCACTGTTTCGACCAGTGTGCGTGGTCAACAAGTCGAAGACTCCGGTAAGCACACAAATGAGCACACAGAAGCACACCCCCTCCTTTTACTCTACCGTCCCCTCAACTACAACTCTCTCTCTCACGGTCTCTTTCTCACTCCCGACCGATGCCCGATAGTAATCCAAGTTTCTCCTCCGTGGTCGTTCTTGTATTCTACTTTCATTTTCGAATAATGCCCTACTCTCTTCCAATCAGTTCCTGTCTACTAACCCATGCGAACCCATGATTCGCCCATTGGCGAAACAAGCTAACATCGAGTCGTCACCTCTCAATACTTTAACCTACCAGCCACGCTTCCAATAGGGATCCGGCCTGACTACAAGTAAACCGTTATACATATCTTACTCTTTCATGAAGTTTGGTTCCCAATGTGGTGATCGTTTGCAGACAGAGAGGCATTAAGAACAAAAAGAGGCTCAACCGATAACACCTCTCACCACTTTGTTCGAGTTAGCCAGGTAGGCCGTAAAAGGGCCCGGGTACTGACGAACCACGGAACCCCACCCGGAGATAGGCTTGAAGTAGTACACCGGCTCGAAGGGCACGTAGCCGTTCACGAAAACGCCGTTAACGATAACCACAGTGGTTGTCTCGGCCATTTTTTTTGCCAGCTTCCACTGGCCCTGGTCAGCCTGGCTGACATTGTACACGGCATACAACAAGGGGGGGGATTAGTGCGCTCGACACGCCAGGAGGGTTCGCGCCCGTCAATATACCGCAAGCAAACCTGAGGTAAGACAGGCCCTCCAACACGGTATAGCGCGTTCCTCTTGGCAAGAGCGCCAACACGAAACTATCGGTACCCGATTGCAATTGTTCACGATGCCAAGAATCGGACCGAATGAGGACGCTCACAAACCAACTAACTTAAGAATCTACGTCCTATCGACTCAGACCAACCAAGAAGTTTACCTATGCATGCAACACGCACGTTTCGTTCGTTCGGCTGGGCCGGCGGCAAGATGTTCGCCGTGCGCAAATAAGTCCCCCCAAGTCAACCGAATCGGCCGCAAGAGTCAGTCTCGAGCAGCTAGTTACGACCAGTTCCATCGACAGGAACAAACACCCGATCGCGGTCGATGCACCCACCCACCCACTCCCAAACGACCTGATCCTTACGTCTCAAGAAGTGACATACACCCTTTCACCAGTGTCCTACTGCCAGGATCTCCTACAAAAGAGAGGAAAACCCGAACAGAGTTCGTCGAGAACACTCCAAAGACGCATCGTTAGGTGCTTGGCGACGACTGCTGTTGCATGAAGAGATTTGAGCCCAATACAACAAAAACCGACTCAGGGTGTGTGAAGCCTTGCGCAACAGGCGACCGAACAGAAGACACAGCGTGCCTCACCGGCGTCACCACCACCACCACGTCCCCGGCCTTGGCCGGCGGCAGGTTCTTGGCGTTGATGTCGCGCACGTCGGCCGCTCCCCTGACCCCGATACCGAAGTCGGCCTTCGCCCCCGGCTGGCAGCACACCACGTACGCTTTCTTGCTCTTGCCGATCGCACCGACCAGCTGCGGCAAGATGGTACACGAGGGAGACAAACGAATTCTCACGGCTGTGGGATACGGTACGCATGGGAGCACCCGAAACGATCGACTCAGCAAGAAGCGAAACACTGGTATCGCGTTCCATCTTTCTTTGCAGGATCAACAATATTAAAGAATCGTTCAGTCGGATCGGGAGCCGATCAGGGTACCCACTGCGGAATATCCAGAGCGAGGAAGCTTGGGGGCAGAAGGCCTTCACTCTAAGTGAACACACAATGGCTAGAAGAGAACCAAGCGGCGGTACCAACACCAGGATATTAGGGACAAACGCATGGAACCTAAGGCTAACGTGGAAGTGGAGGTACTGGGTAGAGGTCAAAACGGTTATAGAACGCGAACGACAACGTGGCCAACCCAGTGGATAGCTTGTAATCACCTTCTTTGCGAAACTTAGGGTGTTCTCCCGCGCCAGTCTTCGATTCTTGGCGCTGCCGTCGTTAATCTTGTTCAGGGAGGCCAGCGGGGGAAACTAAAAGCAGAATCCCAGGCAGAATAAGGTCAGATAGAGCAGGGAAGCGACAGAGACAGAGAGGAGAGGGGGTGTGCGAGAGAGTAAGGGAGTGGAGGAGAGAGAGACAGAGGCAAAGAGACATTTTCAGTGAGACAGGAGCGGTACATGAAAGGAGTTGAGTGAATAGGACGTCGGCAGAATTTGCTCGTTTCAGAGAACATGGTTTGGGGCGGAACTGGCAAAAACTTGATGCTATGCCTTTGAACTGCCAAGACCAAGAGCTACGCCTGCCTACTGCAGCATGTTCTCTTTGGTCTTGTGCGATTCGTGTGGGTGTACGGGTCTCCTGAGAGAGACAGCGTGAAGAGGTGCGGGAGAAGAAAATCATCATCAACGAACGGACATCGGTCTGACTGACCTCGACTTCCATGGACTTCTCTTCTGAGAGAGACAGCGTGAAGAGGTGCGGGAGAAGAACATCAGCATCAACTGACACATTGCAAACTCAGCGTTCCTGGTGTTCATACAAAAATCACCAGGAATTCCTGATGATCGAGTTTGCAATGTCGCACCGGCTATTCGCCAAATCACCGGGAGGATCTTCCATTCCCGATGAAATCATGAAAAGGGCTTTTGCCCCTTTTCATGATTTCATCGGGAAGGATCTTCACGACTGCGGTGCCCGCGCCCATGTCCGCACCGACTGCCAGCGTGAACGAGCGTGCACGCACACAAATCTACGGTTCTTCCCAACAGCCGTGTGTCACTCGTCAACTACCAACTCGTCAAGTACCAACCACCATCATGACCAACAACGCCCCGAGCTGGCAAGGTGGTGAAGGGTATGCTAGGGGGGGGTACGCAGCCGGCGGCTTCCAGCCAGCGGTGTGGAACGGTCATGAGGAACGAGAACGAGGTGTTATAGCGCTTGGTCCGAGCAGCATGGACAGCAGCATCCGCAGCAGCGAGCGGCAGCAGTCGTCTCTTCCTTGATGCGGTGTCATTTGCTGCGCTCCTCCCCTTCCCTATCGTGGGTAGAAACTTAAACTTCCTAAGTTTCTTCACAGACACAAGGTGTGTGTGACGGAAGGCTCTCTCGCCCGGACTCTCAGGCACCGACTGCGCAATCACAAGCATCTCCTGGAGGCCAGCCTCTGCCTGCTGCGCCAAGGCCCCCATCTGTTTTGCCAACGCATACACCGCTTCATCATCGTCACCCAGACGGCACATCTCCTCATTAGCTGCCTCCAACTGAGTCATCAACTCGATCGTGTTTCTCTCGTGCAACCATGCAGCGGCCTGAGCGTGCAGCTGGCGCTGCTGCTCAGTTAACCCCTCCTCTCCGGACATCGTGTGTACTAATGGCGTAGCTGGTTGTGTGGGTAGCGGCGGGATGTGTCCCTACTGCGGCAACTACATATGAACAGTCGAAAATACGCGGCGCGCGGCCGGACACGTCATAATTTCTGGTGATGGGCCGCACAAACACCAGGACTGGAGTTTGGAAACCGTTCGGATATTTGGCTCTATCCCGATGAAATCACAAGGACGTGTAAACAGCCGAATATACCCCCAACACCAGGACCGCGGAGTTTGCAATGTGTCAAACAAACGGACATCGGCCTGACTGACCTCGACTTCCATGGCCTTCTCTCCGCTCTTGAGCCCCGCCTGCACAGCAGCGATGGCCTGAGCCGCGATCGCGTCGTAGTTGGCTGGGGGGCCCTTTTTCGCGCCCCCCCCGAAGCTGAAGAAACACCTTTGGGGTTGGGTTGGGACACGTGCATCATGATTGAAGAGATGAAAATTGTTTAGAGACAACGGCGGACGGATTTATTAGTCGAAGAAGCCGTGGGATGCCGTTCGATGAACAGTAGTATCATGTCACTCAAACCCCAGGAAGGGGGACTTGTGAAAAAATACATGCAGCATGCACAACGACGCCTTCCGTGCGCCGTGCCAGTCCGAGAGGGTGCATCTACACCGTCCGTGGCATGCGGCGGAAAGCACAACACCCCGCACAAATCGTATAGCAGACCGGCGAAAAGAAACCAAGCTTTGGACATCACGGAATGAAACACATTCCGGTAAAATGCCATTTTCAAAAGGCTTGCTGGTGCAAGCTAGCGGTTGCATGATCCGAAAAAAAAAAAGTAGATTTAGTACCAGATGAACATGCTCTGCATACCTCACACGACGACGTATCATACTACAGAAACTTCCGCATGCAGTCTCCACTGCAAGCCAGCGTGCTCTCTAACAACAGTAGGCGCCCTTGCCTTGCTGCGCATTTCATGATATGTACCTTACGGTCTCTCGCTGGTGTTGCCGCCGGTGATGATACCGCGACACATGATGCTGCAGAGGCTGCTGTCTGCTTCCAAGTGCAACATACGACGTTCGTGCTCCTATACCGGCCTGGAGGAACGGAGCCGCCGGTTCGAAAGAGCACGACAAAAGGACGCACGAAGCTAGCACAGACCCTTTCGTCATGATGTGGACGTGGTATCTCCTCGGCCTGCAAGGGTCACTGAGGAACATGCACATCAGACATGCTGCTTGCGCAGCTGGCGCAGGGGAGACATGGCTAGGACTCTCTTTCATGGGTGAAGAGCACGCATGTTGTGTACATTTCACGGGGCCCCAAGCCAAAGTGTCGGTTCGGCGACGGTTCGAGCAATCCCAGATCCATCGACCAAGCAAGCGCGCCCGAGATGCCGTTTCATCCTCAGGCGATCCGCGGGAAAAGACAGGAATTTCTTGTTGTGCCTGCAGTTGTCACCACCCGAGAATAGCCTACAGTTCTTTCTGCCTGCGGCTACCCCGTCACCTCCTCCTGTGCTTATTTCTATCGATCTCACGTTGTTATGATAAATCCACGAGGCCAGCGGTTCATGAGCAATCCGGATGATGTGTTCTGTACCAACGTCCAAAGACCAGTTGATGTGGCGCATCCTGTTGCGCCAGTGCCATGCTTCGAGGAGCACCGCCGGCTTTGCAATGCTGTCCTCGACGGAAGGGTGGACGTGCTCCGGAGCTTGTTGGTGGATGGCGAGCTGGACGTAAACGCACGAAGCAAAACAGGAAACACGGCCGGGCACGAGGTTAGAGCATTCATCATGCGCGTTTTGCATTCGTCACCGAATTATATCATCCCATTGATTGCCACGTTTAAATTCGCCTACAAACACATATATCGGCTGATATGTGTCAAAAACATACCCATGATAATTGAAGACTGGCATCAGAATTAATGGGGCGAACACCCACACGTACATCGCTTCCCGCCGGCACACAGGCGGCGGCAGAGGGTCGCGTGGAGGAAATGTCTACACTCATTTGCCACGGATTGGATATTGATGCGGTCAACAACGAGGGGAACACGGCCCTACACCTAGCCTCGAGGCACGGCAGGGTCAAGGTGGCAAGACGCTTGGCAGAGGCCTTCCCAAACGAGGAGCTCATGAACCACAGAGGGTTTACCGCGCTTGATGAGGCTCTGCAGGCCGGGCGCGCGCAATGCGGCAGCTGCATTCGAGGCTTCACCGATTTCGGGAAGGCCCAAATGCTGGAGGAGCACTGCCAAATCGAGAGAGAGAGGCTGGGGAAGGTGCGGAGGAACAAGGTACGAGGCGGTGTCAACGTGTCGATTTGCCGATACCGCAGCCCCTCTACGGCAGTACGTGGTGGTATTTGTGTAGCGTGGATTGTTTTCGGTTGAAATCTGTTCGTCTTGCGTGAGCTTCAAAATTTTCCTCGTTCGCTACAAACCGAAACACAACTTTCATTTGAGTTCACGTTTTGAGTTGCTCGCATGCCAATGCGTTTGTTTGAAGTCTTCGCAGATAGATCATGGTAGTGCAACGTGCTTACCTACCGCAATCAACTTGTTCTTGCAGGAAATCCTGTACGGCCGGGATTTGGACGTTCAGCCGCGTGAGGACGACTTTCGAAGCATGCGCGCCTGCGCCATCACAACCGACGATAAGGCGCTTATCTGCGCCTCGTTGCAAGCTAGTGCCGTGACATTGCGCTGCATTGCGGCAGGTCTCCAGCTCGCGGAGAAGGCGTTGGCGAGGGGTGCACAGCGTCGAAAACACACCCGCCGTAGAAAAGTCGTGGGCGGGCGCAAGTAAGGAACAACACAGACAGACCGTGCTCTCTTCGGTCCTTACTCTGTGTCTCCCTTGCAGCAGCAGTCTACATGGTGAGGGCACAGACGGGATGGTCATCGACTCATTGACGATACTTCAGGGTACGCAAACGGAGATACACAATACACAGTAGGGCCGATTGAACCCCAGTCGGACACTGTGGGAGTAACGTTCTCGAGCCCATGACAGAGCATAGCATGTGACACCTCCACAGAGCAAAAAACGCAATGCTATGGCAAGACAAAAAGTGCAATTTTTGGTGGCGGTCCAAAAGGTTCTTACATTGTTTGTTTCGAAGGCCAAAGAAAGTGCAGGAAACACACCAAAGGCCGCCCGAAGTACCCTAATCCCCGGAAAAAGAACCTCCACGAAAGATAGTGGCGCTTCTACGGTACTCACCCGACGGCATCCCACTCATTCCTACTCATCAAGTCGAGCAACAAAGAACACCCGACATAAACCGCAATACGAAGTCAAACAGCTCCATTCCTACACAACAACAAGAAGGCCACTCCCCCAGCGGGAAACGGGAATCGCATGGGCGTTCGTTCAACTCCACGCTCTCGCGCGACGGCCTAATTCTTCCTGCGCCGGCGACAGACAGGTCACCATACTCACGCGCGCTTCCGGAATTCGTGGAGACGGAACGTGCTCGACGGCAACTCATTGAAATGCACCATGTACTCGTCCTGAGACCCTGAGAGCAACGGGTTTTGGCAGAACTCGGGGGGCGCGTCTGTGGCGGAAACCAGCTCAAATCCGCTGTCTCCGCCGCCGCCCGCGGCAGCCCCCTCCCCACCCGCGGTGCCGCAGAGACGCGCGAGAAAGCCTTCCAGGCCGTCCCTCTCGCTCACGGGAGCCACGTGGAAGAACGAGCCTCCGGGTTTAAGGAGGGAGAGTATCGCGTGCAGCAGCGGCGACGTCTCGCTGGCCTGGTACACTACGTCGGCCGCGAGGACCACGTCCACAGGGGGCTTGGCCTCTTCCCACGTGGACTCGTCCCCCCAGTCAAGCTTCACCGCACGAACCTTGAACGAACAAGCAGGCAAGAGGATGAACGGCCGTTCTTTCACAACAACACAGAGACCGACCTAACGCTCACGACAGAGATACCCCTCCTTCGTATGCATGTCCGAAAAAAAAAAAAATGATTTTTGTATGATTGTGCTGTGATTGGTTCGACTACGTTAAGGCCACAAGACGCGCATCTTAGAAACTTGTAAAGCAAAGGATGCGCGCCTCGACGACGACCTCGGGCGATCACAACTACAACAAATCTACTTGCTACTTTACCCGAAGCTTTGCCCCACGACGAAGCAGCATGCTAAGCATGACCCCGACAAAACCTGAGGCATCCAGCGACGAGATGGGCCGCCCGGGCGAACGTACACCTACCTCCGTTCCCGCTGGATATCGATGGCGGTTGAGCTCGATGTTGTGGCCCAGGTTCGCCATCGTTTCGGCGTTGAGGTCTGTGATCAGCATTGAAGCCGGGCTCCCGTGCACAGCGGCCGAAATTCCCCTGCAACACGAACACGTCACGGGACGGGTCAACGAACAGCCCATACGCTGTAGGAGAAAAAAAAAGAAGTTGGTTGTTGGTTTGATGTGCAAGCTTCCGAGTTGTGGCCAAAGGCGGGGAGGAGAGGGTGTGGTCAGACAACGATTCCCGCAGTAAGGTGCACAAAGGCGTTCGGATAGAGGCCATGCCAAGGAGTTTTTTTGTCCTTTTCTTCTCCACCTTCGTTCTCAAGTGTGGTTGCCTTCATTTCTACGTCGAGAGGAACTCTGCCGTCGGCTTCCCTCGTCGACCGTGGGCCGAAGTTTTTTGCGTACACATGAACAGTTCGTTGGTCAAATTGCGTGGACATGCTGTGAGGAAGAAAAAAAACAATTCGTGTGACGAGCTCACGTCCCAAACGCCCGACGTTGACGAGACTACCAATTGACGTAAATCAGCAATTGGGGCGAACGGAGTGGTGGCGCGAAGGCCAAAATCGAGGAGTGGTTCTTGGCGGGTACAAGTGAGGATTTGTTTCGGGGATCAACCATGCCGCACAGAAAGCAACAAAACCTCTGCATCACCCACGGCCGTAGCACCAGCTGGCCCGTTTATGGCGCAGCGGCTACCAGGTGCAGTCCCTCACACGGCACGCTACCGCTAGAACTCAACTTCTCGGGTTCAAGGGCGAAAGCGGTTTGCGCCGTGGCATGGTTACCCCCGGGCAGGCACATGAAGAAGAACTTATTTTGGAGGTGATTCATCAAGCACAGTCTCACCCCGCGCCGCAGCCGGCCCCCAGCTCCAGCACCGTCTTCCCGTCGAGCCGCGAGACGATCGCCGGGCTCGCGACCCACCGGGCCAGCACGACGGCGGCGGCCCACAGGTTGAGGCCCGTCGTGTCCTCCCTCGCGTCGTCCCCGAAGCACTCGTCCGGGTTCCGGATCGCGAGCTCGCGCAAGAGGAAGCGCACCCCTCTCCTCCTCCTCCGCGTCTCTTCGTCATCCTCGTCGTCGTCGTCGTTGTCGCCGCCTGCCGAGCCTGATGATGACGTCACTGCTTCCCCCTCGCCGATGCCAAACCCCAGCTCGTGGGTAATGCTCGGGCCATCGCCGCTGCCGCCATCGTCTTCTTCGTGTCCGGCGTCGCCCTTCTTGCTGTTGACCGGCTTCGAAGAGATCCCTTCCTTCTTCATTTTGCTCTTATCCTTGGACAGGCTGGACTGCTGCAGGAGGATGTCCTCCTCCGCGGACTTGTGGTTGAGCACCATCTTCACCATCTCCGCGTCGCCGGTCTTGAAAGCCTGGGGTTTCGGTGGCATCGACAAAACCGTCGTAAGCATGCATCCGTTGAAGTGCCACTGAGAACAAGTACGGGAGTAACGCTAACTGCCAGACCTATTCGGAGCACACGCGAACATTCGGCTGGCAAGAGCAACAGAACTGAAGCCCTCAGAGCTGTCAGAGGCCACCCTGTTGTTCTCTCTGCCTTTTTTCCGTCCTGCCCTGCCCAGAAGCAACTACGATAGGCGGCGCGGAGAGTGGTCCTCTACGGCGTTGTTCCCAAGGCCGGTGGTGTTTCATCAGAGACGCCCGGGGGATAGCTTGTGACGGACGACGGTGCCTTATATCAGCTGTGGGGAACACACAAAAACAAATGTGCCGCACTCACGTCGGATAGCGCGCTCTTGCCGAAGCCGTTCGTGTCGAGGACGTTCATCTGGGAGGACTCCGGGTACAGTTCCATGAGAAGTTTGACGCACGCGTCGTGCTTGTTCTGCACGGCCCACTGCAGCGGTCTGCGCGTGCGAGGACATAACCGGAGGCGATCAGTTGGTGGCGACGGATCATGTATCATGTGCTCGATGACACACCGGAACCATTTGTTGCCCCACAAAGGCAAAACACATACGACCGGAACAAACGCGGGGGGAGTTGTCCTGGACAGTCATGGTTGATAGGTGCTCTAGTTGAACGTGTACACACAGTTGTCCATGGAGAACATGGGCTATGTAAACCCCATTCAATATTAATTCGAAAGCGCGTCACGGCGGGTGGGCAGCGGGACACACAAACGGTCGCCTTGGCAGAGTTTTTCTACTAAGTTAACATGTCGGATAAAGGATACAATCGGGGAAGTTGGGTAAGGGTTAGGGTTAGGGAATAGGGTCTGCGTCCCCCCTCCCTGTTCTATTTCCTCATTAGCTTATTAATCGCGCGAAGGCGGTCCCACAAAACACGAGCAACCCAAGCGTTCGAGAACGAATCAACCCACAAGACAGAGAGATTTTCGTCTACGTTCCGTAACAACGTTGGGTACTACTGGAAGCAGTGTTCGGTCGTCCCCGTAAAGAATAATTCCGTTGTTTTTAACATAGGACATATAACATATAGCGGTGTAAATCCAATCGCTCGGATGCGTGGTTCATAACCCGCAAGGAGACCAATCCGTACCAATTTGTCCAAAACCTTACTGCTGGTATATGAAAGCCCCAACATCTTTCAATTAAATCTCAAGAAACCCCGATATCACCTGTTGCCGGCTCCATTGGGCAGGTGACTCGCGCCCGCCTTGATGAGCGCCCTGATGACGTCCGCGTGTCCGTTAGCGCAGGACAAGTGCAACGCGGTGTTCCCGTGGGCGTCCTGGTGGTTCGCGTCGACCCCGCTCGAGAGGATGGCCTCCACGTCTTCCAGTTCACCGTACCTGGCATAACGTCGGCGGTGTAGCCGGAAAAACTGGTTGAGCATGAATACAACACAACAGCAGTACCGAACCCAAAGCAAGCTCGACTTTACGGTCGACGAGGGAAACGGACGGCAGAATCCTTCTCGCCATAAAAAGGTGATGGAGGTAACATGACAGAAAAAACTCCTTGTTGTGTGGTCTGCCTCCTGCGTGACACAGGTTGATTGCCTCCAGAAACCGTGTACCGACAGGTGCAAGTTTTGACGTCCAGGAGAATAAATGGGACGACGATGCGCACATGCACGTTCTTAGAAAAACCAAATACAAGCACAGAAAGAATACTCTATCATTCTACCCGTTCAAGATATAACCAAGGGCGGTTGTCGCTTTCCACCAACAGGGGTGACCACTCACTGCTGTTGACCTGCTAGCCGTGATCGCTACAGCGGTTCTTACTAAAATACAGATACATGTTGGTGATGTTCACTGCTGTTGTTTGATTAGAGCGACTCGTGGGGGTGAAAGACATAGACAGACGTAGTTGGTGGTTGTTTTTCCATGAAGTACCCCACGTGGTTGTCGTGTGAGGCCGGCTCTCTCCCATTGGATCAAATGATGGCAAGTGCGGAAACATGTGTCCCATCTGCAGATTTGAAATTTTGTGTGGTATCAATTGCCAGGCTACTCAACACACACCTGCAGCATTGGTTTTGGAGAGCGGTATACGTTAAGCAGGTGGGCTCGACACGTTACCTTGAGCAGTCCAGCAGGTCCGCGCCTGTGTGCGTGCTGCTGCTCGTCTCCGCCGCCATAGAGTTCATCGCCTTGGGCAAGTGAATGGTCAAGGGCAAAACGCGGCGGAACTACGTACACTTGCTTGTGTCGCGGCGGCTCAGGCGCGGCGGCCTTCTTCCCTCGAACTAATACAGCAGAAGGCACCGAGAGAACTCCGACAGCAGCGTGCCAGAGCGTGGCAATTCAGTGGTCCAGAAGATTTCGAGTCTAGACGAGGTTCCGCGCACATAGACACTCGGAAGACAGGAGCGGACGCGCAGCAACTCGCCGATGCCCGGGGGGGCCGCAAGGAGGAATATTAAGGAGTTGGTTGGTGGGGGAGCCTTGCCGTGCGTTGTTGTGTTGTGAAACCCGGGGACAGAAATATTTTACAAGGTTACAGACTGGGTGGAATGATGGAGCGCAGGTTGCCTCTGACAACTCTTGGTATTTGGGTGGTTGCCTCCTCTCCTCTCTGCCTCGATCACAGAGCGATTTCCCCCGCCACCTCCCTTTCCCCCAAAGCAACCCCGTGCTGCCGCAACGCGACAGCACCGAACCAAGTAGCGAACAACTCGCTGCCTGGTTCTCCCCACCCCACCTGCAGTACCATGGTGAGTGGACTCAAAGCCAAGCCAAGCAAAGGCCTGGTCCGAAACGTGTGTGCTCCACAGCTGCTGTGCGGTTTCTGTCTGGGGCATGAGAGTTTTTCTGGCACTTAGGCGGGGCTCTGCTGCTGACAAACAGAAGAGGGAGGTCTACTTGCTGTACTCTATCCTCTTGTTGGTGGCGTGGCGTGGCCCACGGAGTTGCTTGTTGCAGATGTTTGTGAGCAAAAGCTCTGTGAGTGGGTCTTTTGGGATCTGTGTAGTTGGGTCGCTGCTTGCTTGGGTCATCGTACGGCAGGCATCGATCGACTCTTCAGCCAACGCACTTGCTTTGCCCTCTCGTCGCCCAGCAAACCTGCAGCATGCGGAGCAGCAGTGGGTTTGACGACAAGCTTGCCTTCTATCTGGGTGGTTTTCTTTGGGAATTTTGCTCTAGCATTGCTCAGCAGAAAGGAACGATGTATCGTGGCGTTGTCTCGAGCTCTCCCGTGTCTGGCTTCTCCGTGACGATGGCTGGCAACACGCAAAACGATGTTTGGTGGCCATGGGTGACATCATTTTGGTAGCAGCGGTTGTGCGAAGGGATCCACATCACCGGTGGCGAGCGATACAATTGTATACATTTTGTATCGCGAGCAACATTCATTGATAAATTGTCAATGTCCAGATTCTGGTGCACACACTCATGAGACCTATTTTCAAGTATATGTTCCCATTCCATACAGCGTAGTCTCGACACTGGTCCGTAGCACGTCGAGGTGTACTCGTCGTAACGGCACACTATTGATAGACTGGTCGGTGCATGTAGTACAGAGCGACAGGGTGGGTGGCATTGTCAGGCAAGCTCTGGTCCAAGGATGAACGGAAACGCTTAATCCTCATATGTCCTTGTCATGCAATCGAGTTGGGAGAAGGAAAGAACAGCCGGGCTGGGGCAGGGGAGAGACCAAGGAAGGCTTTCTGTACGACTCGGGTCTGTACTGCTGAGATAGCGACCGAAGATCAGGGGGTGTAACGGGAGTGGGATATAAAATAAGGGCATCTTCGTCACCGACTTTTTGTCCAGAAAGTTTAAAATCGGAACAGGGTTGGTCACGGTCCGCTCGATAGTGAGAGCCTTGATCTCTGTGCAGGCGAAGGATTGTGAAGGTTAAGGTTGAGATGGTGTCCATGCCCTAGCGATTGGAAGGCCCGTTCCTCCTGTGGCCGTCATCTCACACGCCCGCTCACTCCGCTGCATAGGCAGTGGTTGTGTCCGCGTTCATGCCTCATTGTTGCTGCAGCTGTTTTGTCGTGTGGGTGTGTATAAGGCTGCCGTACCTTTCACGTCCTTTCTTCTGTCCATCGTGGCTTGGTACCTCGGTAGCACACAGCCGATAATTTGTCGATCTTACCCCCCCCCCCACCTTTCCCATCGTCGCCAACATCCAGTTCATCCTCAAGAAGAACCGCTTGGCGGTTTACTCGTACCTCTTCAAGGAGGGAGTCCTTGTGGCCAAGAAGGACTTCTTCAAGGCGAAGCACGATGAGATCGAGGACGTGCCTAACCTCGAGGTGCTGGCGCTCATGAAGTCCATGAAGAGCCGCGGACTCGTACGCGAGACCTTCAACTGGTAAGAGAGAGAGAGAGATGGGAGAAAGGATTTATGGATGTGTTTGTCGTGAGAGGGAAGAATCTTAATGTTTGTGTTTGTCGTGCGCATAAGAAATACTTGTGTGGTGAGTCGGTCGTGAAACGGAAGGTTTTTGATTTTTGGGTTTTCACAAGCGTTGTGCGTGTCGTGAGTTGGCTATGATTTCTCGTACGGGAGGTTCTGCCAGATCTCCCATGATATTTGGAAGCTACGATAGAGGGACGTGCGTGCGCGGGGTGTGTTCCTGGTGGTCGCGACCTCGATCTGGGGTGTTCAGCTTTGTGTGTGGCGTTCCACGTGTACTTGATTCCGTACACGACTTTATAGACACGCGCCCGATGTGTCCGTGTATTTCGATTCCATGGATATACTGCGTATCTATGTGTTTTTGTCCGATAAGCGAAAAAGGGTGTTACCAATCAAAACCACGGCCAAATTAAGTTGAATCGGAACAGGCAAATACATCCCTACCACGTTCGCCGAACCTGGTCGCAATGTGCCCTTTTCTCTACCCGAAAGCAAATAAAGCGCCTTCTGAATCAAACTGTATCAAACTCAATTGAAACAGGCCAGTACGCATGCACCCATGATCGCTGTACCCCATCTATGTACGATGCCCCTTCTCTCCACCTGAAAGTTTGCCTTGCAAATCTAACCCAACCCAAAACTAACCAAATCGAACCGAATGGAATCAAACGGAAACAGGCAGTACTTCTACTGGTACTTGACCGTGGAGGGCATCGAGTACCTTCGGGAGTACCTGCACCTCCCGGAGGAGATCGTGCCCGCGACCCTCAAGAAGAGCGCGTCTCGCCCCGCGCGCCCGGGACCCGCGCCTGGCGGTAAGTTTGGCTACTGTATTCCACCGCGGCAGTTGTGTTGGTTGCTCGTCAAACAGTGTACACACGTCTGGGCTGTGTGTTGCTGTCGGGTAAGTATGAACAGTAGGACAGACATTTTCGCGTTGTTTGTGCGAAGTCGCTGATTTTCATTACTTGTCGTCTATTCTATTCTAGACTCGAGTTTTTTCATTGTACACGTTGTTTTTTGGTGGTGCTCTCGCTTTTGTGTTCACATGGTACTTTTGCAATATTTTCCATGTAGATGACCACGGCTCATGGACTTTTCTTTGGTTCTCCGGTACACGTTACATATTTTTTAACTCGTATCTTGTTTCTTGAACATGTTGCCTATTCGTGACGACCGATGCGTTGTTTCAATAGGAGACCGCGATGGTGGCCGCGGCGGCTACGGCGGCGGCGGCGACCGCTTTGGCGACAAGAAGATGGGCCCGGGAGGAGACTTCAACCCCGAGTTCCAGAGGGTAAGATCTACTCGCAGCTTACGTTTCCAATGGGATGATACTGCTTTACACTGGGATTTGATGGTTGGTCGTGTGCTCGACCAGCAAGTCATGGCCCGACGGACTCGTTCACTATAGATCGTAAATAGGAAGGCCGGAGGGGAAAGTTCGTCACCTACCAGCAAACCGTTTTGGCGACCTGTTGCCGGGGGAACAAACCCCACCTACGATGAAGCCAAGCAAGGACCACGCACACCGCTGCATCCTGTGTCCCCACGACGTGTCACGGTGGGGACACGCGGGGTGCAGCGGCGCGGGTGGTCCTTGCTTGGCTGCACGAGAGATAGGGTTCTGTTTGTCCCTTGATTACCTCTACAAAACGACCGTTTTCTGGATACGCGTGACAAGTTCCCCTCCGTCCTCCGTATTGTTAACGATCTTTAGGATTTCGTCGGGGCAGTGGTGTGTCATTGTTTGGACACGGCCAAACCCTCTCGTCGTATTGTAGCGTAGAGCAGTAGCAGGCGCAGCTTCGGCGGCTTGCCTTCGCTTTCATTTTGGAGCGCCTTGGTTGTTGGTAGGTGCGTCTTTTTTAGCTCTATTTACGCACATGTGGAGGTAGTGCACAACGTTTACGAATAAGGTGTTGGCGTCATCCGCGCCGGCAATGCGAAGGTTGACGAGAACGCCGCCCTTTTCCCTCAAAAGGTGGTATTTTTCCTCGTCAAGGCAAGGCGCCAGTTCACGTAGCAGGCTGGAGGGTCCGCTTACCCACATGAAAAAAATGTGGCGCGCCTGCACTCGTGATTTATCGAGAACATGGTGGCACTCCTTGTATTTTGTTTGTCCCTTTCATGGCTTATCTTGTAAACGATTTGGCTGTGATTCACGTGTACTGTTGATGACAACATCGTCCAAAACAGCATCAACTGTGCATGATGCCCCCCCCCCCCCCCCCCTCCACCAACCTCGATCACTGTTGCCCTGCCCGACGTGTTGGCTAAATCTGCTTGGCGCCCGCTTTCTTTTGTCGTGTTTTCTGAAACGGCAGGGCGGACAGGACGGCTACCGCCGTGGGGGTGGCTTCGGCCGCGGCGGCGGCGGCGACTAAGCTCCACGCCCTGCTAGGGCCCTAGGCGCGCGCACCTACGAAGCTCTGTTGGTAGCTATAGCACTGTGGGAGCGATCCCGGCGATTCCGGGCAGGCTCTGCATCAATACCGCCGGCGCTTGCCTCGCGATCGCATGTCCATCGAAAGGATCATGTGTCGTTGCGAGGGGGGACGAGTAGATAGTGACACGACCTCGGCGCGCGCGCCACGCCAGAGCATGCGAGTCTTGGTGTTGGCTTGGGTGTAAGGCGAGGCGTTGTGTGTGGTAGTCTTGGTTGTTGCTGCTTCTGCTGTCTCCTTTTGGGTCGCCGGGAGGCACGTGCATGCGATCGGTCGCTGTCGTTTTGCTTGCCACGGTGACAGGCATCAATAATCAAGAAGCGGATTAGGGGGGAATCGGAACAGCCCGAACGCGTTCGAGCTGTATACATACCTGTGCATCTGCCCTTGTGTGGGTCTTGGCTGCACACCTTGGATGGCACCGTCATGGCGGGTGCGAACACCACGGCGCCCCTGGCAGCACGCTCACTCACGTGTGTGGGGTCTTGGCCTCATGCAGTCTTGTATGAGCCATGTGCTTGTACTGTACTACAGCATTGTCGTTCCCTTTTGTCGCCACATGCTCGCAATCTCTGTCCTTCGACATAGCAGTTGCTGTTGCTTTTGTCATCGCCAAACTCATGTGCGTGCGCACCGGCGTGGCGGCCAATGCCGATCGAAACTATGGTCAGGCCGTGGCCACAACGATGAAGGCGTTCTCAGGCACAACTCCGCCTCGGCTGCTGTTGCTGCGGCTAGGTGCTGCCACACGGCATGAAAAGACAAACACTGGGAGTCCACCAAAGACGTCGAATGAACAGCCGAAGATGCCCATGGTCAGGACAGGGAAAAAACTCACTCTACCTTGTGCGTGAACGACAGTAATCACCTTTTCGTCGTCAGGTTCCACACACATTTGAGCACGAAGAGTGCAGCGCCTAAGCTATACGTGTGTGAGGACCCCTGGTGTCAACACGCACCCACGAGAGGCAAAATAATCTGTAATCGGGCCGCGTTGTTGTTGCGATATTCGCGGTTTGTGTTAGCAACATCATTTCCGCAGCAAAGCTACAGTAGCTAGCTGCTGAAAGACAATCCGAAAACGCGCTACTTACTTGGATCCCCTTTGAAACCGCTACTACACAACAGGCGTTATGTCAAGTGATCGCCGGCCATGTTGTGTCTGTCCTGCCCCCCCCCCCGTCGGTGTTTGGTAACAATCTCTCGTTGGCATCACAAGTACTTCCGGAGACGTAGCCGTGCGCGTTTGTTTGTTTGCGTTTGCTCGGTGCTGGCATCCCCCCTCCTTGTGCATGGCATGGTGGAGAGAGTGGACTGAGTGAAGCAGAACCCCCTCCCTCCGATGTCAGGTACTGTAGGTGGGTGGTTTGTGGTTGGGGAATGAGCTGTATCGTCCCCCGGCAGATTATCGGCGTTTCCCTCGGCAGCAAAAACAGAGACGATTGAATGGCAAATCGCTCAACTCTACGCACTCACATACATACACACGTCAACATGTCTCGCTTCAGCACAAAAAAATCACAGGCAGACCGCCTGTAATCGGCGACAAACATTTATGGAAATCAAAAATGAAATACACTCGCTCGCACGTGTTACTGACAGCGCAGCGCCCCTCCGGACCAAGGCAACGCCGTGCTGTGCACACTGCAAGGCACGGCTGGGTTTATTGAGAGGCAACATCGACAGCAGTAGTCCTCCTGCAAAACTAGCTGTGCTCCTTTTTGGCAAAGACTAGAACTTTTCGAAGATGTTCGATTTTCTTGCGCACGTCGACCTCCTGTTGGGGTGAAATGTGCCGTCGTTCAGCGGAACAGTCCCCGGGGGAAGAGATCGCGCGCGTTTCACCACGGACGACCAACAGGGTGGAGAAACAAATTGGGACGTGGGACGCATGCGAGTGGAAAGATTCAGCACACGTGGGGGGGAAAGAAAGGACGAGATAAGAAAGGTGAAGAGGCATCAACACGGGATGGCAGACGGAACCAAGAAACGGCGAGAGTTGGGGTTGCGGTGGGGGGTGGGGTGAGACGCTTGACCATGGGAGAACGTCCCTTCCTCCCAGCCCAAATAAAAACCTCCATACTTCACCAAGAAAGGCCGCATGGTGGGCTCATGTCCCGGTATCTCTTTTATGCCACCTACGGACGGCACTGCTGTTGTGCGAAACAACGTGGGATGCTTCCAATAATAGCGATCGTGAATAAAAGTCTGTAGCAGGCGGGAGGTTTAGAGTATTTGAAGGCACAACTAGAAGTGAAAAATCACCTGTGAAGGTAACCGTCCCAACATCGAGCCGTATTCGCTGCCTTCGCCCTCGGAAGCAGCAGAAGAAGCTTCTAGTTTTTGTTTTGTCTCGGCAACGAAACGCCGGATCGACGCCAGCTGAAGAGATGCAGAGGGGGAGACAGAGGGGGGGGGGAATAGACGCACAGAAACACGGACAGGTAGACAGCCATACAGAGAAGAGAGCATCCGTGTATCCGTCAGTGTGATCTCCCGATGGTTCTCTGATCGTTTCTAAGGATCGAATATTTCTACACTTTCAACGCGTCCATATGGATCAGACGTTTCGTACATACTATAATACGTTTCTCCAACACATCTACTTGTCGTCCACATGCACACGCGCTCAACTTCAGCAAAAACAGCAGTACAAACAACTTTGGAGGGCCGCCTGAATAACGTTCAAGATGTGTTCGCAATGTGCATGTGGCGCCCAGACAACAGCGTAAACAACGTATGCATGACGACGTCTGATGCTACCAAAAAACTAGCAAGAGCAAGAGGATTGAAAATCCCTCCCATGAGGAACCCGTACGACGCAACGTATCGCAACACCCCCCCCCCAATAAAAAAATCTCCGCCCGAGTACACGAGGCCCTTTGACATTACTTTTTCACGACAATCACACCCGAAAAAACGCCTGCCATACACACGCTCAGGACCACATCCCAGTTGTGTTCAACCCCCCAAGTACTGCCACGGGAAAAAAAACGATCCCGAATGCTCTCATGGCCACCGGGCTGGACCACATCACACTTGTGTTCAACGCTAAATACTGCCACGAAAACAAAACGCCCGAGAACTCTGCCACGGCCACCCACCAAGAACCACGTTCAGCAGCAGCCGACACCCACCTCGCCATCCCCTTGGCGCGACTGAGACGCGGATAGAGAATCTCTCGCTTCCTCCAGCTGGGCTTCTCCCCCGGCGACCGCCGCCTCCGCGTCACCGAGAGCCCTCAGGAGGCCTGCCCTGGTCTCTCTGCGTGTCCGCGGCTCCGACAGCCGTTGCCGGAGCGAGGACGCTCGCTGCAAGAACGTCTCCTGGTCGAGCAAGAAGAGACGGTATCCAGGGGGCCGAAAACGAGACAAGAGGCGGGGCCATGTGTATTTAGCGTGAGCTGACAAGGGACGAAAAAACAAGTATGCGGGGAACGGTTGGTCAAAAAAAAAAGCTGCAACGCCCCCCCACGGGGGGTTGGTGACTTGCCTTCCCGGGGCGACGCAAGATGTCATGGCCAAGGCCGTCACGGTACAATGTAACATTGTATCTCGGCGTAATGTCGCGGTTTCCTTACAAACTGCAGAAATAACCAGGGGGCGGCGGAAAGGGGGTAGAGGTTCCGCCTGTTGAGAATATCGCCGCCGACGGACGCTCACCACCGTACCCACACCGTCTGTGAACGAGGACGTGCTCGTTTTCGACGGCGACAAGACAAGCAAAGGGGAAGGGACGTTGACGGACGAAGGACCGGTGTGCCCGACAAAGGACAACGACAGTCCAACAACAACAAACAACTGAGGCCGCACCTTCTCTCTCGCGGAGCCCCCTTCTTCGGGCGCGTAGAGCCACGCCTCGGTCTCGTCTAACAACCCCAGAACGGCCGCCGCATCGCTCGGGCTCACGTACGGCGACAGCTCCCCGTCGGTCGGCTCGAGGCTCGACCTATCGCACGCAATGTACCACAACCGTGTTGGAGCGTGCACCAAAACATGTTGGAGCGTGCACTACGCGCTTGCTTATAAGTTACGGCGTAAAACTCGGCTTCGGGGTGTTCCAGTTGTGTAGCATCATTTTGCAGCTGCAAGCATTTATTTCTCTCATTTTACGGCCTCGGTTTTGGAATGTTCCGGTTGTTTTGTTCGTACCATCTCTCTCTCTCTCTCTCTCTCTCTCTCTCTCTCTCTCTCTCTCTCTCTCTCTCTCTCTCTCTCTTTCTCTCTCTCTCTCTCTCCCCCCCTT